GTAGATGGAAAAATATGTTTTTCTTTGATATGCAGGACTTTAAAAAAAGTTAGGGTTTACATTTGCTTTATTGTGCATCTCCAGCCAAACTTATTTACCCTTTTATTTGTACAGTTGTAGATTGGGGTAGGGTTAGGCCCTATGTCAGTTTTTGCTCTTCTTTGTGGCCCTACAGGGGAGATTTACTTCACTTCCTTAGGGACAATGTGCTGCCAAAATAGGAAGTGAGGAAATATCCCTCAGGCAGCAGTAAAAATAAAAGCCCCAGCAGGCTTTTATCTGATTGAGGCAATGCTGTAATGTGTCCCCAACATGCTCTCAGACAACAAAGCTTTACAGAGGTATTTTTACACTTACCTACTCTATTGAAACAAAGTGAAATGTGCAGATTTACACCACTTAAGGCAACCCTGTCACATTTAAAAAAAAACAAAATCAAAGTCACTGCAATAGAAGTATTACACTCGCCTCATTCAGTTTCTTCGGCATTTGACACGCAGGAGTGTTGGATGCTTCTGACACTTCTGGAACTGTGAAATTTAAGATCTTGTGATAATTGTTTGATAGTTTTGATGCATTTAATTTTGCAACACAAGTAATAGTTTTTGTTTTATTGGCCAGGTCGCAGCTGGAGCACCTCAAGATACCAGGTATGACTATTTTCTTTTACTAAAACGAATGCAGTCATAGCATACATTTAAAAACCTGTTTCCTGTGAATAATATGTACCTGTTTTGATGTCTACAAGAAGTACTACTGCTAAAGATTCTTCAGTATTCTGTTCACCACTGCACTCTATAGTTCCATCTGCCTTTAGTGACATAAAGACCACACATGGTGTACTGAGACAAATTAAAAAATAAACTTTAGTAAAGTCATCTTCTGAGTCATTAAAGCGACCCTGTTGTGCAGGCTGTGCATACTTACTGCTGCAATCAGAAGTTCTTGTCCCCTGAAGTCTGCAGGCAAACCAGCTTCCAGGAGTGTTTATTCCACTGCTGCTCTCACTGGTTCCTCCAGCAGATCTCCACATCATTACTGTGACCTACCATTCTATGGGAGGTCAGAACCAGTGAAAGCTAGGAGATCAATTCCGACTGAAACTGTTGGTTTCCCAGTGGCCATTTGGGGAATGGGAGCAATGTTTGGTAACACTGGCACCAAGACGGGAGAACTTACAGCCTTCTTTTACAAGTTTGGCTAATGTTTCACAACAGGGTTGCTTAAAAGGGAGCTTGGAAGCACAGTAATATGGGAGCTGCCTTTGCAAAGATGCAAGCACTCCACAATGTGTCATACTGAGCCTTGGTTCATAATCTGTATTGTTGGCCTGGAGCAATAATACAGAGAATGACATTTCGTGTTATTTGCCCAGTGATGAAAAATCTAAAATTTTACAGCTGACACTTCGGGGGGGGGGGGATATTCCACATTCTTAAGTATTTCTGAACATGACTCGAGTGGCAGTATGCCCAATGGGATACACAGACTGCACATATAAGCTATGACAGGGGCTAGTCACTCCCTATTCTATCCAAAACTCAAAATATATTGGCTATAGCTATGCAAAGTGTATTCGTTGAGTGGGGCCGAACATCAGATTTCCAAATATACAACTAGGAGGAACAAATAGCTATGCCTACTCCCAAACTGTTAATTTCTAAGCATATTACCTGCTGGCAAAAGGCTACATTACTTCAACAGCAAAAACCTAGGAACCCAAGTCACAGAATGTACTTTAACCTATACATTTATTTTATATTACAGAACACAGGAGGAACCCGCCTCCACAGTCCAGGAAGCCCCTAAGACGCGATCATTTTTTTACCGTGTGTTTCGTGCTGCCCTACCTCTCCAGCTCCTACTTCTCCTCCTTCTCCTCCTCGCCTGCATGATTCCCTTCTCTGAGGACGACTACAGCTGTGCCCAAGCCAATAACTTTGCCCGCTCCTTTTACCCAATGCTGAGGTATACCAATGGACCTCCACCAACCTAAACAGAGTTAATGTGTAATTCAAATGACATTCCAATGTTGTATGTGCAGTCTCTCCACTGTGACACACCAGCAAGTCATGTGATACAACTAGTGCAGTTGTTACACCATCTTTGATGTTTTTTATACAGAACTGTGGGGTTGCTTTCATCTGGGGGGTTACTAAGGCTTCAGGAAATGGTACGCAGGGGGCAAAGATTTGCATGCACATAGTAACTTTATATCGCAGTGTAACTGGTGAAGGTTCATAAGGATATAGCCATTTTGATTACTTTTTAGATGGAGCACCGAGTTTTCTTTTTTAATTACAGTGCAAAGAGCAGGGAATCAGGAGCACCGAGTTTTCTTTTTTAATTACAGTGCAAAGAGCAGGGAATCAACTTCACATATCAGCCAACACCTTTTGTGAATAAGGATTGCTTGCTGTTCTTTGGATGTTATTAAATAAGCCCATTTGTGTTTTCCTTTTCAGTGTTTGTAACTAGGAGGACTTTTTATTCATGAGTGTGGCTTTTACTTCCCCTTTTATTTTAATGTTTTTATTTATGTCAAATTTTAAATGGTGATTACTATGTAAATTTAGCACATTTCGCAGAATCAAGTCATCTATATTCCTATGTTGTACAGAGCAATTTGGTTTTATACGGACGATTTCTGGCTTATTTTTCAGTGTTGTACAGCTATATTTGAGGGGCTTTATTGTTCTCTTTGTAAGCCATTATGCAAATCACAAAACATTGAGAAAGGGATTTTGAAGGTCATTCATGTTTCAAGCTGTATCTAAAAAAAGGGATTCTAATATATATTGTAAAATAATGTTCCACAAGAAAAAAAAATTGTTTGATGGGTATTAATTCAATAAACTTCTTATGACCTTTGTAATACTTTTTGTCTTTGTTAATGTGTGTTTTTAGATCGAAAGAAAGTGTGACTCAATTGCTTATGTAATACATAGCCTATACAGACAGGCACGCATGCATTTATCTTATGTATTTAGCTAAACTTTGTCTCTCAGTTACTCTAGATCCTGGGGAATTAAAGAGTGGAGGTGGTCTTCAGTAATACTCCACCCTGTGCAGGCATTTTAGGTTTTATTTATAGAATGCAGAGAGCATGGTGCGAAGTATACAATGTGTTTCCTGCAAAAGGGCCATGGTTAAACCATAGCACTCCTTTTTAAATGGGCCCACTTAAAGTGTGTATGTAAACCTGAACTTCTTTTCTTTGCTTCCTTATGGTCTGTTAAATATATAATTGAAAGGGTTTTGATATATCTGTCTGAGTGCAAAAAACAATTTGATCTTTCTTGATCATCCATTGATAAGCACAGGAATGAAGTAATTCTGAATGTGCCCATACACTGTGCGATTATCCCGCGATCGTATGATAATCGCAAAGTGTATGGAAGGCGTGCGACCGTTTTTACTGTACGGTCGCACGTCTTTTGTCTAAGGAGCATGTTCGAAAATCTTACGATTTTCGGCTGGTGTGTGGCATGCTCGGGAGAGAAATGCCGAACGGGCCGGTGTGCGCACACTGCCCGTTCAGCATTGCAGTCATCGGAAGCCGCCCCTCAGGGGGGCGGGCTTGCAATGATCGCAAGTACTATCTGCCTATCCAAGATGTGCAGATTGTACGTTTTTTCAATTACTTTGCAACCATCGCAAGACTAAGGTCTTGCGATGGTTGTAAAGTGTATGGCCACCTTTAGACATTTGGGATTTCTAAAAGCAGTCCAACTGAGGGGCGTGGGTAATAGACACAGAGAGACTCAGCTGAGTAGAATCTAACTATTAGGAGTATTTTGAAGAATCAATGCCCAAATTAGTGCTAGATGAAATAAAGTAGCAAAGGCAAATATGGAATTTGTCACGTGCAAAGAGTCACTGAGGATCAATTTGGTGTTCCAGACCAGGACAGTAGCAACTGCTTGCTAGCTCAACTAACCCTGTGGAGGACAATGCAGAGTGCACACCATAAGAAACAGGTAGGGGGAAAAAAATCTGTCATCTGTACACCTATAAAATACTTGCTGCACTGCGTTGTGGAGAACTAAACCCATGTGTGTCACTGCCGATCGGAGATGACAAGTTCCAGAGAGTGGATGATCCACAAAGTACTTTAGAAACAGCAGCAGCAGAAAGATATTTCCTCTAGGCTGAATGGTGGGAGAAAAAAAGCAGAGGGTGCGTTTGCCCCACAACACTCAGCTAACACAACAAACAGTACACAGAGGTCTGGGAAGTGCTACATTGCACTGCCCAGTGCCTGAAGATCACTTCCAAGCTTGTCACACCACATCCAGAGGCCTACTCACTGTACGAGTCTTCAGAGACTGGGTAACACGAGAGGCAATGCCATGGCTCTGGACCTGGTTCTGCGTTCTGGAAAGCACCACAATACAGAGCCCAGTGCACATTTCAGGCTAGTCCCACTTCCTTCTGTTTAGTCAGGTCTGGGTACGTGCTCCAAGGCTATTGCTGCAAATAGGCCAATCTGGATAGTTGCCATACAGAGACAAGCTCAAAGCAGCATTATTTGAATTTTTGACTGAAGTCACCAAATGAAAAAAAAATATCAAAAGGAATATTTCAATTGAAGACAAAAATTTTTAAAAAGTTAATTATAGCGATTTTGCAACAGAGCTGTCTGGCCTCCTATGGAAACTAGCAAAAAAAAAAAACTGAAGCACGCCAGCTGGAAGCAGTCTTAATTTTTGTTTGATGGTGTCCAAACCTCCTGAAGGCAGCCGCATAACCCAAATGTCCAATAATTACTACATTTCTGTTTACCTCAATGGGTGATAAAGGAAATGCCTATTAAACCTGCTATAAATCTTGCAAACTGATCATTTCTTGCGGTTTCTGTCTATGCTGGTTAGTTATTATTACATTGTTCCTAGCAATCTCTGTAGTACAGTAAGGTAAGTAAATGTTGTCCGTTCCCCACTCCGTGGTGGGGGGGGCGTCAGAGGAGCGGCATCTAAAAGGTTGCTAAGAGCGCTCAGCAACCTGTAATGCTCTGTCCGGCTTCCCGCCGTGCTCACGGACGTCATCACTTGGCAGGCAGCAAAGCGCTCTGGCTGGCGTCCCGCTGAGCTCCTGGCAACCAGTGACATCAGTGAGTTGGGCGGGACTGGACAGAGAGCAGCTAACAGCAGGGCTCTCTATCTGATATAACACACCGTTCATCCCTCCACAAAGCACCCCTCATCACCATCAGCAGCCCTTCCCCCCTCCCCCCCAGCACTATTTGGCACCCTTGGACTGAACATTCTCTGCCACCTGAGCCACACTCTTTTTCTGAACTGTTCTTGCTCTCTTTCCCTTGCCTATTCACATCTGCTTTCTTCCGTGTTCCCTTTGCTCCTCTTTTCTGATTTTTGTCTTAGCCCTCATTCACACGACTGACAGCCGGCCCGTACAAATCCGTGCACGGCCGTATCGGGCTGCTCCCAGGAAGGACAGGTGCTGCGTGTGATTTGTACGCAGCAGCCCGTTCTCCTCTATGGGAGTACCCGGCCGTATGCCGCCATATACTCACCCGAACTGCACATCCGTGCGGGTGCGGCTGTCCATATTCTTACGCAGACAGGATGGATCCTGTCTGCGTCCGAGCAGGGACACCCGCATGGACGTGCAGTTCAGGTGAGCGTACGGCCGCGTACTCCCATAGAGGACAGGCTGCTGTGTACAAATCACACGCAGCACCTGTCCTTCCCTGGAGTGGCTGTTAGTTGTGTGAATGAAGACTCTACTATATCTACTATACATTGACTAGTGTCTGCATTCTCCTTTTGCATCTGCCAATGTTTTATGTCACCGACAATAGTGTACTGTATTTTGACTTGTGCTTGTTAATGTCATTGCCGTTCGTTAATAAAAAACATTGAAGAAAAATAGTTATAAAGAATTAAAAAATTACTATTACATACACACTATGTCAAGGCCAGGGCCAGATTTACTCTCTCTGCTGCCCCAAGCCCAGGTTCCTCAATGCGCCCCCCTCCTCCCCAAACTTTACCCCCAATGGAGAATGGCAACTAGATGCCGGGTTTGGTTTTAATTTTATCTTTATTATTTTTAACTTTATCAATTTATTTTATTTTTTTACTTTTTAAAATGTTCTCTTATCTTTCACTTTACTTTTTTTATCACTCTAATTTAATTTGCATTTTATCATTTTTTACTTTATATCAATTTTTTACATTTAGCCCTGCTTGCCCGAAGAAAAGAAGAACCTACCCACCCAGTGGCTGTGCTGCCCCAAGGCCGGGCCTCGGTGGCCCTGTGGGAAATACGTCCCTGGTCATGGAGACAGTTTTTTTTTTCTCTTTTCCATCGCCAGGTTAAAACAGTATTTAGCAAACTAAAAGGTCCTCCATTTTGCACTCTACATTTTTAAAGTAGATGTAAAGTCTACGTTATTTATCTTCTGTAAAGATTTCAGCCTACAGCAACACAATGTAGTTTCTCAAACCATGCCCACAGTAGCCATTGGTTACAGTGCCCCTAGCTGCACCTACACCCCTATTACGCTATGAAAGCCTGAGACCAGATGCGAACAGATAAGAATTGTAGCCGCACTCAGAATACAAGGGAAAAAAAAGTCAATATACAATCTATGCAACCTTCAAAACCCAAAATGGGTTGTATTCTGTTATACAGCTTATAATAGAATGCTTCCAGATGAGTCATGCTACACAAGCACAATGTTTTTTCATATGGACAGAGTAAAAAGTATACAATAATACCATGTGTGCACATAAAGTTGCTGGCTAAATGCTTCTATAAAATGGTCACAGAACAGCGACATTCATCCTATAATGAAAGTATATCTAAACCTGTTTTTGATCTGCATATAGTAGGGAATGGTTTTCCCCTTGGAGGTTTTTTATATATGTCCCATTTGTGACACAACGGGAAGTGAGTGAAAATCCCTCCAATATTGATGCACTCCTCTTAGACAGCTGTCACCGGAATCTCCTGTTCTGATGAATGCTGAAGCTGTCAAATATTGGATTTCCCATTATGGTCACAGTTTTTTTTAATACACACAGAAATATAAACCTATACCAAAAAGGTGTCTGAACACACAGGCTAGATTAGAGTGTTAGGACCACACTACACAGAGGGGCCTTGACGTGGCATTGTGGCTTTTACATATTTTGCAAAAGTTGTGCAACTAAAACCTCTGTTTTTAACCTCAATAGTTGGACCATGTATTTTTTTTGCAGGCTGGCTGATGATTGTGCTGGGAAATTTTAGCTTTTGAACACACTGTGAACCTCAGCTTGTTGCATTTGGGCCCGCATAGCTGCAGACT